ACAGACCAGAATACCAGAGACAACATTACAATAGGCTACATCAGCGGTTCTCAATTCCAGTCCTCGCACCCTCGCATCCAGACGCTGCGCAGCGCAAATCCGTGAATGAGAAGTTAAGTAAACTTCAACGGATTTCTCCTGCTCAGGGAGTAGGGAGCAATGTACACTGTGTAGGGATCATATCGATCGGAACACAGTTCATGCACGTAGCTCACTTCTAACGAGCTGGTTATCTGAATCGGGTGTGTTAATTAAGCGAGACATGCAAAATATGCAGAGCGGGGGGCATGACAACTGGAATTGGGAACTGCTTGGCTACATCATGTGTCGTTCACCGGTGAGAAAACTTTATAGTACAGTTAGTAAAAGTACTACAATACCAGGAAGGAAGATCGGGTTGTTGATGTTTGTCTGCCATTCTCGCTCTGTCTGCACAGCGTGCGTGAACGTGCTGATGAAGTATCCTGTCTGTGCGAACTGGGTGCACAGAGGTATGCTAATACATACGTTGACAGGCAGGTAGGAAAGCCAATTAAAACACTCGGACCGAGCGTTTTGATTGGATGAAAATTTCTTGGTCCTACGCCTTCCACAGAATATATAAATACTTTTAGACCACTTAACTTAATGATTGCTATCGGGATGTGAAGGGACTTTCAACCAGCATAACAAAAAATGTTTCTGAAGACAATCACCTATTGCACCTTTAAATAGATTAGAAATTAAGTGTTTTGCAGAATGACGCATCACACGACAAATGAGAGCCAATGGCGTTTGTGTGATTCATCTCCACTTCCTTGGTATCGTACTTCAGTTGTATTACGGGTAATGATTTTGAATCAAACCATTGATTAGAATAGTTTACACTGAATAATCTTGTTCATTGATCATTTCTGTAGATTACATCGGAGGTTTTCATGGTGTGGTCACATCAGCAAAATATTGCTTACAAGCAAGGTGTCACGATACAGGCTAGGAGACACAGAGGTAAGTGGTCAAACAAGGGTTTTTATTGACAGACTATGGAGTGAACCAGGTGGTGACGAGAGGTGAGTGTAGCGCACACAGTGACAAGGTTCAAGCTTGCAGTGACAGTCTTTTGCTTTCTTGCAGGAATCACGTGGAGCGGTGGAGAATCTGGAACGTCTGAGGTAAGGAAACACACAGGTAATTAGCAAGAGAGTCAGGCTAGGTTCAAGGTTGTGAACGGTAGACCGGACGAAGAGCATGTGTGAGGTGAGCACTAATAAAGGGGAGCTTGATGAGCTGCAGCAGGTGCGGGGAATTAGAATGCAGTTGATTGTGATCTTGTGACCTTCGGTGCTGATGACTGTGTTGACTGTGGTGACTGAAGTGACTGTGACTCTCTGACATTACCCCCTCCCCCAGGGGTGGCTCCTGATGCCCTAACACGACGACGGGGATGGCCACGGCCTCTGGGTGCAGGACAATTCGTGCGGTTACAATGGAATTCCTCCAGAAGTAAGGGGTCTAGGATATCGTCCCGGGCCACCCAGGATCTTTCCTCTGGTCCATATCCCTCCCAGTCCACCAGGTACTCGAGCCGGCCACCCCGTTGCCGTGAATCCAGAATGTCATGGACCTGATAGACTGCAGCCTCTTCCAAAACCTCTGGGGGAGGAGGTGCGTCCGGTTCGGTGGATCCTGTGGTGGAAGGAGAGAAAGGTTTCAGGAGTGAGATGTGGAATGTGGGATGTATTCTGTACCTTGCCGGGAATTGGAGCTGATACGTGACGTCAGTGACCTGCCTCTGTATTGGAAAGGGACCTATGTAGCGGGGATTCAGCCTTTTGCATGGCAGGGGGAGGCGGAGGTCTCGGGTCGATAGCCAGACCCAATCGCCTGGCTGGAACTGAGGGGGATCTGACCGACGGACGTCTGCGAAGAATTTGTGCTTCCGCACTGCACGCTGGAGATGGATGTGTGCTGAGTCCCATACCCTCTCGCTCTCTCGGAACCAGTAGTCCACAGCTAGAACCTCCGAGGGCTCCTCCGTCCAGGGGAAGAGCGGGGGCTGGTAACAGAGTATGCATTGAAAAGGTGTAAGGCCGGTGGTGGATTTTCTGAGGGAGTTCTGGGCATACTCGGCCCAAGGGAGGAAGCGGCTCCAGCTGTGCTGATCGTTTGAGCAGTATGACCGAAGGTAGTGTCCGAGCTCTAGGATCTTTCTCTCAGTCTGGCCGTTAGTCTGGGGATGGTATCCGGAAAATAAGCTGACTGTAACCCCAAGGAGCTGAAAGAATGCCTTCCATACATGCGAGATGAACTGGGGACCCCGGTCTGAAACAATGTCCTCGGGTAGACCGTAATTTCGGAACACATGGTGAAAGATACTCTCTGCGGTCTCGAGAGCAGTGGGAAGGCTTGTCAGGGGGATCAATTTGCAGGCTTTGGAGAAACGGTCCACGACCATGAGCACACACACGTGTTGCCCTCCGAATTAGGAAGATCCGAGACGAAGTCCACCCCGATGTGAGACCAGGGTCTTTGGGGAACAGGTAGGGAAACCAGTTTGCCAGATGGAAGATGGCAAGGGGATTTCGACATGGCGCAGACTGAGCAGCTACGGATGTACCTGATGATACCTTGGCCATACCGGGCCACCAGTACAGAGCTTGAATGAGCGAGAGGGTCCGCTGGCTGCCTGGGTGTCCAGAGCCCGGTACTTCATGAACTGAGCCCAGAAGGGTTAATTGCTGGGAGTATGGAACGTATGTCTTTCCTTCTGGGCCTCCCTGCGGAGCTGGCTCGGTGTGGGTGGCGTCACGGATGCGTTCGGTGAGTTCCCATTGAATAGAGCTGACAATGAGGGCCGGAGGGAGAATGGGTTCTGGATCTGAGGGTTGATCCGGAGCGTGTAAACGGGAGAGTGCATCTGCCTTGGGGTTTTGGTTTCCGGGACGGTAGGTAATGATGAAATGGAAACTTGTGAAGAACGGGGCCCAGCGGCCTTGACGGGGGTTAAGGCGTTTAGCATATGTTAAGTACTGTAGATTCTTGTGGTCGGTGATGACGGTGAATGGAGAAGAGGCTACCTCCAGCCAGTGACGCCACTCCTCCAGAGCTAACTTGATGGCCAGCAGTTCACGGTTTCCGATGTCGTAGTTTTGCTCCGCAGGGGTCAGTTTCCGGGAGAAATATGCGCAAGGATGGAGACGGGGAGGCTCACCAAGGTACTGAGACAGCACGGCCCCGACGCCGGTGGTAGAGGCGTCAACTTCGACTACGAAGGGGGCTTGAGGATCCGGGTGACGAAGGATTGGGGCAGTGCTGAACGCTTCTTTGAGATGGTGGAAGGCTTCGTGGGCATCAGGGCTCCAGGACAGAGACTTGGGCTTGCCACGTAGCATTACGTTATGGGCGCTGTGAGCCGACTGAACTGGTGAATGAATCGTCTATAGAAGTTGGCAAATCCTAGGAATTGCTGCAGTTCCTTCACTGACTGTGGAAGTGGCCATTGCTGAATGCCTGTTACCTTCCCCTGGTCCATCTGGATACCTTCGGGGCTGCTGTTGTATCAGAGGAACTGTACCGTGGAGCGATGGAATTCACATTTCTCCAACTTCAGATATCGATGGTGTTCTCTGAGCCGCTGAAGGACCTGCGTTACATGGTGGCGATGTTTGTCCAGGTTCCGGGAGTATATAAGGATGTCGTCGATGTAGACAATCACGAACTGATGGAGGAACTCCCGGAACACCTCGTTCATGAAGCATTGGAAGACGGACGGTGAGTTGGATAGGCTATATGGCATGACCCGATATTCGTAGTGGCCTGAGGGTGTGATGAATGCCGTCTTCCACTCATCGCCCGCCCGGACTCGAACGAGGTTATACACGCTCCGCAGGTCTAGTTTGGAGAATATGCGGGCTCCACGGAGTTCCTCGAGGGCGGCTGGGACCAGAGGAAGTGGATACGGCAGCTTCACCATCTGGGAGTTCAGGGCTCGGTAGTCGATGCATGGCCTCAAGCCTCCGTTCTTTTTGCCCACGAAGAAGAAGCTTGAGGCGGCGGGTGATGTGGAAGGCCGGAAGAAACCCTGTTGGAGAGCCCCTTTGATGTAATCCTCCACCTGAACACATCCTGGAACGCCTGGTAGTCAGATGGGATCGTACACTTCACCTGAGGCTCAGGGCTTTCGACGAGGGTGGAACACACTTGGATCTGCGAGTATTCGCTCCAGCGAGTGATTTCACAAGGATCCCATCTGACTTCTGGAGAATGTTGGTTGAGGAGGATGATATCCACCGTGGGTCCCTCCAGTACCAGAAATGAGATGGTTTCCTCGTGCAGACATCCAACTCTCAACGTCAGAGGGGTAGCTCGATAATTAACCCTTCCACGCCCAAGCGACTTTCCTTGAATTGTTTCGACTTGGAGCTCCCTGGGCTGCCGCTTACGGGGTTGGTTGAGTAGAGTTAGGAGTGCTTGAGATATAAAGTTCCCCGAGGAGCCTGAGTCGACAAGGGCGGAGACTGAAACAGAGGATTCTGAGGTAAGTACTTGCACTGGAAGAAGGGACAATGTAGAAATATCTGGCTCAAGTTGAATCGTACTCACCGCTGGGCGTGGAGGTCTCACGGGGCAGTTTCTGATGAAATGATCCGGGGAGGCACAGTACAGACACTGTCCAGTTGCGAGGCGGCGAGCACGCTCCATGCAGGATAATCGAGCGGAGTCCATTTGCATGGGTTCTGGTACAGAGGGACCGGAAGCGGGTGAGGCTAGCTGGCGTGCGGCTTCGTCCTCGTAAAACAGGCAGTCAGGAGTTGCGAAATGCGGGAGGCGCGCTGCATGAAATTTTCCAGTCCCACGTTGTCGTTGTAGATCGCCATCTGGCCGCGAATGCGGGCATTGAGCCCCAGGCGAAAAGCACTCAGCAGCGCGGCCTCATTCCATCTGCTGGTGGCAGCAAGCGTGCGGAACTCCAGAGTATATTCGTCAATAGATGATGCACCTTGTCGTAATCGTAGGAGTTGGTCTTGTGCGGACAGCCTTCCAGTGGCAACACCGAAGACCTCCTTGAAATGGTTGGAGAAATCTTCATAGGAGTTAATAATGACACTTTGGGCATTCCAGATCGCCTTCGCCCACAGCAACACTTTGCCACTTAACAGGGAGATGAGAAATGCTAACTTTGATAGCTCGGTGGTGAACCTCTGTGGCTGCATCTCCATGAAGAGAGAGACTTGGAGTAGAAAGCCGCCACACCCAGCTACGTCACCCGCGTAGGAAGCAGGGATGGCCATGGGACATACAGAGACAGGTGCCGGGGCTGGCGCCGGCATGAGGGTAGGTCGAAGGGTATTGACCAATTCCTCCATGTACGATGAAAAAAAAACCAATAATAATTAAGACATCATAGATAGCCTAATTTATAAATCGAGCGGTTTAATCCAACAGAAAAGATCGCTTTATATGACTAACAGATTTAATTCAGGCTTTTACCCTGTGAAGCCTGATATACGAAATAATAGCAATAAATAAATAAATTAATAATAATAATAAATTAGGGCTGTCAAACGATTTTTCGCTATTAATCGCATCCAAAATAAAATTGTGTGTATATTTATTAGGCTACTGTGTATATAAATACACACATGCATATATAGGCTATATTTAAGAAAAAACGTATTTACATACATAAATATACACAGTACACACACACACACATTTAGGTGTCACGACACAGGCTAGGAGACACAGAGGTAAGTGGTCAAACAAGGGTTTTTATTTACAGAGACTATGGAGTGAACCAGGTGGTGACGAGAGGTGAGTGTAGCACACAGTGACAAGGTTCAGAGGGCTGAACTTGCAGTGACAGTCTTTTGCTTTCTTGCATGAATCACGTGATTGAAGTGACTGTGACTCTCTGACTGCTATTATGTAAACACAAACTTTTATTTTGGATGTGATTAATCGCGATTAATCGTTTGACAGCCCTACAAAAATATATATTTTTAATTGAACAGTTTATTGAAATTTACATAAAATATAAAAAGAATTAAAAAAATTATGGATATTCAGTCCAATATTAGTAAAATTGTGAAAAATTGTTTACTTTATAAAAATCATTAAAGATTTCACAACAAAAAGACATGTGAACCAAGGTGGACATTTTTTTACATTAAAAGGCCTTTTACTTGATAAAAAAAAAGCATAAACTATCAACATGCTTTCAGCAAAGTTTTGATCATATTGGTCATTTAGAGAGTTTATTGCGTTAAGCTTCCATTTACCATATTTAATATAGTGATATATGACCCAATAAGACTTTTCACAACAGATGCTTTTTAATAATGCCATAATTGTGTGTAACGCATTTGCAATTGTTTGTTAATTATACATTCATTAATTTATCGAGAGAAGCTTAAACAAAGAATAGCACTTGGATAGAAATAAACCAGAACATAGAAACATTTAAAGTCACAGTGTATTGACGTTGTTAATTCAACATATCACATATTGAAGGCTGGACTCAAACTGCAGTCAAACAACAGGTTCTCCATGAGCAAGAAACAGTGTTGAGTGCATGTGAGTGTCATAGTTAATTCTATCCTGACATTATGTAGTGTAAAGCCAGTGTAAGTGGGTGTAACTGTAGGAAATGGGTGTTTCTCTGTTTTCTGCAGTCAGAAATTCCAGACACAAGCACATTAACGTGCTGTACCTCCGTCTCATTATAAAGATGTCCAGTCAGCATCTGAGAGGAAACAGCCCTGCACGGAGAGCCGGAGAGAGACTGTGGCTATAGTCACACACTGAGTTTAGGACAAAAACATATTTAAACAAAAATACATCAGTGTATTAATCACGATTTACAGTCACTCCGTCTCATTTCCATGTTCCTAATTTCCCCCATGGACAGAATCAGTGATTTACAGAAGCTGTGTTAGAAAAAAAAGAGCTTTGAACATGAATGCTCCACATTCCTGACTGTATCCTTGGTAACAGATGGACAAAAGAAGACATTGACTGTAGAGGATCAAACATTGTGTGTGAATGCTGGTTTGTGAGTTCACAGTTTCATGCCTGCGAAACCAGCAACACTATAAAGAGCTTACTTTATATGTTATGCAGTTACTTCCCAGACAGCAACATAGTGTTGGCCCAGATCCGGCCCACATCTGGCCCATGTGAAATCCATGCGGGCCAGATGTGGGCCGGATCTAGGCCGAAACTGTCTGCTGTCTGGGTTCAATATCAAGCTCTAATTTGCACATGGTCAGTTTAAACAGTGAATATGATGTCATTGTGTCATGAATCCACCAGGTGGCAACACCTCCATTGTGCTCTGAGCTGGAAAACAACGTTTTAGACTGAAAATGTCCAGACTAGTATTCATTTATTTAACCTACACTCAGATGACAGGCTTTAAAAGACCATTTCAGGTTTAACCTGCAAGTCTGTGTTTACTGCAAGAACTAAACCTGTGGTTTACTGTTGCTCTATTTTTCTTTCTTTGTTTACTGCAGGCTATTTCCCAGAGAAAAACCTACAATGCTTTCAAATTGAACCTATAATTAGAACCTCAAAATATTTTGTGTTTTTAAGAATTATTTATTTTAGTTAAATAATAATAATAATAAATTGTTTAAAATAGTTATATTTTTTTATTTAGAAAAAGAAAGAAGAAGAAAAACAATACCAGAAGCAAAAATAATAAATAAAGCATTTATTAATCTTAGTTAATGTTCATTTCAACATTTACTGATGCATCATTATTTATTGAACTTGAGTTAACAAAAACTTACAATGAACAGATGTTTTTTTAATATTAACAAAAATTAATAAATACTGTATTGCTCATTGTTAGTTAATGTTACATACTGCTAACATTAACTTTTTGTGGTCAAAATATAACAAATATTTAACAATAAAAAGAATGTGTGTGTTATACTCTTTTTTTTTTTTCTTGGTGCAACAATTTATAATTATTAATTTGTCTTCCTAATACTCCTTAGCACAGATCTTCTTAATGTTTAAAAACAAAATCCCTTTGCTCAGCATTTGATATGATTTGCAAATTAAACGGCTCCAATTTGGGGCTGTTCTAAATGTAAACATGTGAAGTTGCTGATTCAGCAGGATCAGAGAGGAACCAGCGTGATTTACTGCAGGTTTGCACAGATGCTGCAAGCAGCTCTGAAACACCCCGTAATCTACTGTAGCTGTTGCATTGAATGAGAGAGAGGAACAGAACAACAGTGGCTTATTCAGATGTGAGAGTAAGCTACCTTTAAAGTCCTTGAGTTCCTGTAAAGATTTCACACTTTAAAGAATCTTCAGTCTTTCGGTTCTGTGATTATGGGAGATGTACTGTGCTCGATCATGTGCATTGCTTTATGTTCTCACTTTATTTTTTCCACATTAAAAAGGTTTTACACTGAAAATTCACCCTGTCTATTTTTAAAATGCATGTTATAGATCTGAAGAAAAAAAAATCCAATCAGCAACCAATTAATAGAACGTCATGTCCTACATTTTTTTCTTTTTCGATAATCCATTCACTCAGATATATGTCACAATACAGAAGAAAAGATCTGACACTAAATCCATTTCATCATGAATTTAAGGAGGTGAATGGTAGGCTGTTGTGTTTAAAATCTTACACAAATCCAGGTCTCCAGTATCTGTATAAATGCTGATTTGTTTGGCTTGGAACAGGTTGCACATTGAGATCACATGACCAAATACTACTTACCCCAATGTTTTTAAACATATTCAATTATAGAACAAACTAATCATGATTATGATTATGAGAAATGCATTTCTAAAGTAGCATCTGAAAACTCATTAAAACCTAAACAGTATTTTACCTAATTGGTGACAACAAAGCAATACGCCAAGAGAAATACCAAAACAGAGAATCTGACAAGTGCTGGTTTCAAATGTAATCACTGTAAAAAAAAATTCCGTAAAAATTTACGGTAAAAAAACGGCAGCTGTGGTCAGGATCAAGCTACTATGAGATTCCATTCAGATTTCAGACTGAATGTGTTCCACTGACCTGTTAAGACAAGACTTAATACAAACATGAGCGTAAATCACTGATTTTGAGCCGTTCTGTAAATCTTGCTCCCCAATAAGCTTCAAAGGCAAAACATTTTAAAGCTGCACTTTGACACGACAAGAATGCACTGCTCATGTGTCAGAGAGGCACAGCCTGCTCATCTCACTGATCATATCAGCAGAACCTGACAGAGAAACAGACGGACACAGAGAGGACATAAAGCGTTTGCTTGAAAGGTTGCCATGACAAAGGAACACTCAAGAAAGAAGAAAGAGGAGTCCTAAACAAATGTCTATCTGCATTTTAGGGCCTTGTGTGGTTGCCAGGTTGTAATCACTGCTGTGCCGATAGATAGATAGATAGATAGATGATGGATGGGTGGGTGGATGGATTGATGGATGGATGGATAGATGGATAGATAGATAGATAGATAGATAGATGATGGATGGGTGGGTGGATGGATGGATGGATGGATGGATGGATAGATGGATAGGTAGATAGATAGATAGATAATTTTTACCTCCCTAAATCTTCTGCAGTGCACATGTAATAGTCATTAAAATGTATGTATTCTATTAGCCTAGACCAAAGTACTACTGGCTTTATTGTGATTAATGATCACAGCAGGCTTACAGTGTCATCAGTGATCTGAGTCCATTCATAAAATATCAGTCAG